CCAAAGCCGTCTTACACGTCTTACCTGTGGTACGGTAATTATTAAACCCTCTCCCCGATGTGTTTCCTCCAGCAGTAGTGAGTGAGTATGGTTTTACGCCGCTTTTAGCAAAATTCCAGCAATATCACGGAGGGGAAAACCAGAAATGGGCTTCACACATTGTACCCATGTGGGGAATTGAACCCGGGTCTTCGGCGTGACGAGCGAACACTTTAACCTTTAGGCAACCCCGCCGCCCCCCTCCAGCAGTAACCGATACTCATTGATTAAATGCTGCTCTTCCCAGTGTCACGGCCATGGAGCTGACACAAAATGACCGAAGCCATCATAAAGTAATTACAATCCTATAAAAAAACAATACACCGGGGAACCTCATGCATAAACTCACTGGAAGTCATGCCGAATTTGTGAATTTACACAAACGTTTCAATGACAAGAACACAATGGGAAAAACATGTTGAAACAAAAGGTCATATATACATAAGACGGGTCTGACAGATCATTAGATCAGACTTCATTAGATAATTTTAAATTGATCTCTCTGTTACAACCTCCAATTTTAGGTTATCATGGGTCCTCCTTTGGTCAAAAGTTTGTTCCCCTGCGTGTGGGCAACCCGAAATGCGTGTGGTCAACGGGTTTCACATGAGTGAAAGTGGTCTTAATGGATGGAAGTGTGTCTGATAACTGGAGTGATGTGTTAAAGAAATGGAAGACTGAATACTGTGAACTGCTGAATGGTGACGTCACTGTGGAGAGTGAGTGTGTTGAAGGGGAGGGCATGCCTGGTGACGTACATGTGTTGAAGGGGAGAGCATGCCTGGTGACGCACATGTGTTGAAGGGGAGAGCATGCCTGGTGACGTACATGTGTTGAAGGGGAGAGCATGCCTGGTGACGTACATGTGTTGAAGGGGAGAGCATGCCTGGTGACGTACATGTGTTGAAGGGGAGAGCATGCCTGGTGACGTACATGTGTTGAAGGGAGAGCATGCCTGGTGACGTACATGTGTTGAAGGGAGAGCATGCCTGGTGACGTACATGTGTTGAAGGGAAGAGCATGCCTGGTGACGTACATGTGTTGAAGGGGAGAGCATGCCTGGTGACGTACATGTGTTGAAGGGGAGAGCATGCCTGGTGACGTACATGTGTTGAAGGGGAGAGCATGCCTGGTGACGTACATGTGTTGAAGGGGAGAGCATGCCCGGTGACGTACATGTGTTGTTTGACGCTAACATTACTTTCTTTGAGATAACCGCAGCTCTGGATAGAAGCCACGTTGGTAAGGCTTCGGGTGTTGATGGCATTCACGTTGAATGTCTTAAATCAAAAAGCATTGTCACTGCTATGCATTATATACTCATGCCAATAACGGTTGTGTCCCCCTCCCCACCCTAACCCACCCCACACCTCACCCACCCACCCACACCCTCTCCAATTAAAATAATTGAAGGGGGTGACAACCATTATTGGCATGAGTATATTTTCAATGTTTGTTTTAATACAGGGACCATACCTGCAATATGGTCTAAGGGCATCATTAACCCCATACCCAAGTGTTCCACTCTAGATCCTATGGATCCTATGTCATATAGAGGATTCACTATTACCAATTCCATGTATAAACTATATTGTAATGTTTTAAATAAGCGATTGCAGTCATGGGCTGATGCAAATGGTGTTATTAACGATATGCAAAACGGGTTTCGTGAACAGAGATCTACTACAGATCATATTCCTTCTATTTGTTCCATCATCGAAACAAGCAAATGTAATAAAAAAGGAAGGTTTGCTGCTTTTATAGATTTTAAGAAGGCGTATGATTGTATTAATAGAGGTGTGCTATGGGACAAGTGAGAAATATTGGTGTAAATGGTAAAATGTGTTTAGCTCTTCAATCTTTGTATACGAATATAAAATGTAGTGTTCGTATTAATGGTATTTTAACCCCGTGGTTTGGTGTAAATCGGGGCCTGAAGCAAGGTTGTTTACTTTCTCCAATTCTGTTTAACTTTTTCATTAATGATCTACTTGATAAACTTGGAGAAGTGGGGATTGGTATTCATGTCAAGGACACCGTGATTGCAGCTTTAGCGTATGCTGATGATTTAGTTTTACTTGCAGATTCTACAGATGATCTGAACAGTCTATTAGAGGTTTTAAATGTCTGGTGTATAGATAATGGCATTTGTATAAATAATGAAAATCTAAAATTGTACATTTTAGGAACGTAAGTGTCAACAGAACGTGAGCTGTTTTTAATGTTGGGAGTTCCTTTTTAGATGTTGTGGATTGTTATAATTATTTGGGCCTATTGCTCACTGATCATTTAGATTATAACGCTATGGCGAAGGCAGCGGCTAAGTCTGCTAGTAGAGCATTAGGACTTCTTATTTGCAAATATAAGGCAGTCGGGGGTATGCAGTACTCTACTGATACAAAACTGACGATACGATGGTCTGGTTGGTTCTGAGTAATGGGGCTTCCATTTGGGGTCATCGAGATATTTCATGTGTAAATGCCGTCCACCATCGTGCTTTGAGGGTTTTTTAGGGATGGGTAAATACGCTCCAAATGTTGCGGTTAATGGAGACATGGGCTGGATTCCTCCTTTTGTCAAACAGTGGATTATTAGGCAATACTGCCGCTTTAACAAAATGCAATGTAGATTAAATAAATATGTATTTATATGGTCGGATGAGTGCGCGGGTGGACGTGTAAAAAAAACCGTGTGAAAGCCAAACTTAAAGAATGGGGCCTGAATATGGAAGAGGGTGTGAGTGTGAAGAATGTATGTGAGCGGGTACAGATTACTTGTATGGAAAAGTATATGTCTGAGTGGTATGAAGCATTGTATAAACAAGAAGGCAGAGTGGGTAGCAATAAGTTGCGGACGTATAGAATGTTTAAAAGTGTGTATGGTTGCGAAAGCTATGTAAGTATGCAAATGCCGCGCTCTTATCGATCTGCCCTTTCCAAGTTTAGATCCGGTACTGCACCTCTAAAGTTGGAACAAGCAGATATTCAAACATGAATGTAAATGAAAGGGTGTGTTTTCAATGCAGTGATAAGATTGAGGATGAACGTCATGTACTGTTGGAATGTCCGCTGTGCGATGATTTACGTGAAAGTTTATATGGCCATATATGTTTCAGCCATCCCAACTTCCTAGATTTATGTGATAATGAAAAAATGATTTTACTATTTAAAGAACATGTTTATTTTACAGCCCAAACCTGCTTTTATATACTTCAACAAAGAAGAAGACATCTTTTATACGGCTAATTTCATATTGTTACTTTTATCATATATTATGTCACTTCTATGTAATAGTCTCTCTCTCTCTCCCTCTCTCTCTCTCTCTATCTATATCTCTCTATCTATATCTCTCTATCTCTCTGTGTGTGTGTGTGTCTCTCTCTCTCACCATTTGTGGTGTCCCCCGCCGTTATATTGCTGGAACATTGCTAAAAGCGGGGTAAATCCATACCCACTCACTCCTTCTATATAAATGTGAGAGTACCAGAGAGGGCATTTTTTAAATATTGCTGTTGTATCTCCAATTATATTTTTAATAAGATTTACAATTTGCATTTATGCTCGTATAATTTATAATAGCGAGTCACTAATATTTTCATTCACCCTTTCATTGCGGTAGAAAAACACGAGACGGGCCAACAAGGGAAAATTTATTCTAGTATTCACTTCAGCATTTACCTGTTGACATAGATACAGTTTAGATGACTGCTATGAACACATTTTTTTAAAACTTGTGTTTCCATTGATCAGTCCAAATCTGAACTCGTTAGGTATTATATCATGAATTTGCCATTACAAGAGTGCAAAGGACACAGTTAAAATACGCACACCCCAGGACGTTTCATTTTCGAGTACGATCAGTCATGGTGGTGGTGGTGGTGGAATTGGGTTTAACGTCGTGCTTGAGAATATTTCGCTCATATGACGAAGTGCATGTGTGTGTATGTGTATGTGCGGCTGCTTGTACTAGCCCAGATTTAAGCTGGTTTTATAGTGTTAGCCGACTGAGATACCATGCCGCAGTGAAGCATGAATACCCCCACCCAGCCACATTATACTGACTCGAGCCGACCAGTCCTTGTTGTACCCATTAATGCCGATCGCCAGGCAGGGACCAACAAATACCATATTTTAACGTCTTTTGGTATGACGCGGTCGGGGATCAGACCCGCGACCTTCCGCACTCCGGGCGGACGCTCTTACCACTACACCACGGAGCGATCACTCATGGTCATAGACGAGGCTAACAGTTTACCAACTGGCAAACTGTGAAACGTATTGACCATTGTAAAAAGTTTAATTTTAAGATTAATTTGAATTTTAAACAAACCTCTTCTAACATTAATATATTTGTTTAATGCCGTTTTCAAGTTATACAAATTTGTGTCTGTGGGGATACCTCAATGTGGGAGGGACAAAATGATGCAGGCCTCAGACGTCACCAGTGTGGTGAGACTAACAAGTTGACAAACCTAGAAACCATTGAGGATGTCAGACCACAATGTTAAGTTTCTGGCGTGCCTGATGGCGAATTGCGGTGGTTCCGGTGTCTGCCATTCATGGCCACTCAATCACATGACGAGGGAACTAAAATGCCAGTACCAAGTTACAATACCCACTGATAACTGGTAACAAGAGGATGTGGATGTAATGATAAACTGTACCTAAGATTTAAGTGCCTGATGATTAACGGTTTTTCTGTGTCCACAGATACCAAAAAGGTGTATTAAGTTGCTTGGACTTCACGAGAAAACAAATTAGTATCATGTAAGTATTTAGCACACTAAAACAAATGGTTGATACCAAGCAGCACCCATGCCGTCGGAGTACAACACAAGTATCCGTGACATCAACACTGCACAAAATGCTCCAAATAAATTATGAACATTTTAATGAAATTTATTTACACGATCTTTAAGTAATACACATAAGAGAAGGTTATGCCACTTGTCACCGTCATGTCTACCATAGGAATCTGTCATCTTGTAGTATAAAAGCGAGTTCTTTATTATATTCAGCGTAAAATTCATGGAGTATTGTTCTTGTAATATTCTTCATTGCCGGAGCACGTTTCTTAGACTTGGTTTCGTATCGTCTTTTCAGTTCTGTGAGATTGTCCATAGCCGTTTCATTCAGAGGAGCTGAAAATACATTCATTGTGATTATTTATACATATCCGAGTTTTAATTTGAGTTGGTCAATAGTTATATTTGTACATGTATCACGTAGCTGGTGAGTGGCTTGGGTTTAACGAAGCTGTGAACAGTAGCCCAGTTCCAAGCGTGTCAGCGTATTGTCAGAGACAAGCCTGGAGTGTTTCACGTTGGTGTAACTCATGACCCGGGTGATGGTGCTGACAAACCTACAGACATAATGAACCGGGATTCGAACCACCGATCACACGTTTCTGGTGTGTGCCAAGGACATCAACTCTGCACAGAGAATTGTGGCGCCTTAGACAACTGAACCATCCTCGAGCCTGAGGTATCATGTAGGTATCATGTTAGATATTATGTAGGCATCATGTAGGCATTATGTTAGGTATCATGTAGGTATCATATTAGGTATCATGTATGTAGGTATTATATAGGTATCATAGGTTCATGTTTGGGTATCATGTCAGGTATCATGTTAGGTATAGGTATCATGTAGGTATCATGTTTGGTATCATGGTATAGGTATCATGTTGTTCATGTTTGGTATAGGTATCATCATGTTTGGTATCATGTTTAGGTATCATGTTTAGGCATCATCATGTATCAGGTATCATGTTGTATATGTTAGGGTATCATGTTAGGTATCATGTTTGGTATCATGTATCATGTTTGGTATCATGTATCAGGTATCATAGGTATCATGTTTGGCATCATGTTTGGTATCATGTTGGGTATCATGTTAGGCATCAGCGTTTGGTATCATGTTGTATCATGTTGGTATCATGTTTAGGTATCATGTTAGGTATCATGTTATGTTAGGTATCATGTTTGTATCATGTTAGGTATCATGTTTGTATCATGTAGGTATCATGTTTGGTGTATAGGTATCATGTTTGGTTTGTATCATGTATCATGTTTGTCATGTTTGTATCATGTTAGGTATCATGTTTGTATCATGTTAGGTATCATGTTAGGTATCATGTTTATCATGTTTGGTCATGTAGGTATCATGTTTGCGGTATCATGTGGCATCATGTTTGGTATCATGTAGGTATCATAGGTATCATGTTTGGTATCATGTTAGGTATCATGTTTGGTATCATGTTAGGTATCATGTTTATCATGTTGGTATCATGTTAGGTATCATGTTAGGTATCATGTTTGTATCATGTATGGTATCATGTTTGGTATCATGTTTGGTATCATGTTTGGTATCATGTTTGTATCATGTTAGGTATCATGTTTGGTATCAGGTAGGTATCATGTTTGGTATCATGTTTGGTATCATGTTAGGTATCATGTTTGGTATCATGTTAGGTATCATGGTATCATGTTAGGTATCATGTTTGGTATCATGTTAGGTATCATGTTTGGTATCATGTTAGGTATCATGTTAGGTATCATGTTTGGTATCATGTTTGGTATCATGTTTGGTATCATGTTTGGTATCATGTTAGGTATCATGTTTGTATCATCATGTTAGGTTGGTATCATGTTTGGTATCATCATGTTCATGGTATCATATCATGTAGGTATCATCATGTTTGGTATCATGTTTCATGTTTTGTATCATGTTAGGTATCATGTTAGGTATCATGTTTGGTATCATGTTAGGTATTATGTAGGTATCATGTTTGGTATCATGTTAGGTATCATGTAGGTATCATGTTTGGTATCATGTAGGTATCATGTGGTATCATGTAGGGTATCATGTTTGGTATCATGTAGGTATCATGGTATGTAGGTATCATGTTTGGTATCATGTAGGTATCATGTTTCATGTATCATCATGTAGGTATCATGTTTGGTATCATGTAGGTATTATGTAGGTATCATTTAGGTATCATGTTTGGTATCATGTAGGTATCATGTAGGTACCATGCAGTATTATGTTCGCACCATGTTACATGTCATGTAGGTATCATGTTAGGTATCATGTTAGGTGAGTGATGAGTTTTACGCCGCTTCTAGCAATATTCCAGCAATATCTCGGCGAGGGACACCAGAAATGGGCTTCACACATTGTACCCATGTGGGAAATCGAACCCGGGTCTTCGGCCACCCCACCGCCCATGTATCATGTTAGGTATCATGTCGGTATGATGTAGATATCGTGCAGTATAATGTAGGTATCATGGTAAGCATAATGTTAGGTACCATGTAGGTATCATGTTAGGTATTATGTAGGTATCATGTAGGTATCATGCTAGGTGTCATGCAACATACGTAGTACTAAAAAGTTGAAGACGTCTCGGAGAGTCCCCAGTGCATCTATGTTGTAGTCCTCTGTCTTCAAGATGAGGAAGTCCTCTCGCGGAAAGACAGCAAGCCATTCCTTGAGAAACACCGAGTAACAGCCAATATGGAGTCGGGTCTGAAAGATGGATGACAAATATAAATGAATCGGGAAATAATAAATGAATCGGGCCGCTTTCGGTAGTATTTCAAATTATCAGATAAAAAGAGACAGAGATCGCGGGTGTTTGCAACTGGGTTCAACCAACGAGAACGTACACCATATCGTGCTGGCGGACAAGATAAAACATCAAGGTGACTCTGGATGGAGCCGACTTTTATAGTTGTGTACAGGATTGCCGTGTCATAGACGGCTGTGCCTAAACCCCGCTTCCCGCTTGAAAGTGAGTGTGTAGGTAACCTCCGTTTAACGCCGAACATTTTCAAGTTCTACACATTCGTGAAAGCTCAATTTGGGAGTGCAGAATTGATGCGGTTCTCAGACATTTACCACTATGGCGATACTAACGAGCATAGACATCGAGTTGACAAACCTAGAAACCATTGAGGATGCCAGACCACAATATGCTAAGCTTCTGGCGTGCCTGATGGAGAACTGCGGTGCTTCCGGTGTCTGGGCCACCCATACCCCTTCTATTACATGACGAGAAAACTAAAATGCTAGTGCCAAGTTACAATACTTACTGGTAACGAGAGGATGTGGATGTAATCATGATATTCGGTTCTAATAATCGTGTTATTATAAATTATACCTAAGATTTAAGGACCTGATGATTTACGTTTTTTCTGTGTATTAAGTTACTGGGACTGGAGAACATGGAAATATTATATAGGCGAATCTAGCGTTCGAACACAGGAATTTAACATTCTCATTGAATATATCTACCTTTGCACAGCTATTAGAGGAGTCTCAGATGACTTGGCAACACATGCGGATAGAGAGGCTCTTACGGGTATAATTTGAGAATAGGTGGGTTGTGGACTCAATGGTGGCACGGATTATGTTTCTAGGCATGTGAACATTTATACTCGTGGGTTACACGCGGTGGTAAACTTCTGAGACACACATTACCTCGGGGTTTCCTCCCACGTTAAACAGACGCACCCTGATGTAATTGGAATATTGTTCACAGCGCTGTTAAATGCAACTCACACATAGGTGTTATAAAAGAAAGTTCAAGAAATTAAATACCGGCAGTTGATGGTACATCTTCCAACTGAACATGCATGTTCTCAAAGAATTGTCCCGGATGCAGTTCTCCATCATTCTGATGGAAAGGATAACATGGTCGTGGAATGATTCAGGTGAATGTCCATAATCCATGAAAAAGTAGTCCGAATATAACCTGAAAAACAAAATACTGTCGAACCAGGATTGTGCGGACCCATCTTTTATCCGGAAACATCAGACTCTGGATATCCAGTTAGTTTTAAAGTCAAATAGACCGAGTATAATCAGAAAATAACAATGCCAATTTACAGTTAAATCCGGATTCTCCAGACCGTTAATCCCGACATATGAGGCTGGGAATGTATTGGTATTTTTAAAGTCACTCAGCATCCACACTTTATGCAGATTTTTGTCTAGATTAATGAAGTTCTTATTATATTTGATTTGTTAGGATTATTCGAACTATCAATATGCATTGCACTTGTCCATGACTCAATATCAATCTGTTGAATTAGGAGATAAACGTACTGTGTTGGAAAATCATAGGAATATAATGAAATTATAATAGCTTAAATAAAACATTTAGAGCGTTATTAAGATTTTTTTAAAATACATAACATGTTTGAAAATCAGAGGTATAAAACGTGATTATATACCTCTGAATGACTTTGATTAACCAACCACAATCCAGTATTTACTGAAGTCATGGTAGAATATAGAACACCGTGTATGTGTCTTAGTTTGTCACAAAATTCTTCAAAGGAGGAGTAAGAGAGAGGTACTTCTCAAGCTATTGCAACACAATTTTACACAAGATTTACCTCAATTTACAACAAAAGGTATCGTCAGATTATAGTTAAATTTCCCTTCATAAACATCCGTAATGCTGTCACCAACATTGACAATATACCTGTCTATCAGTTCCTGAAGATTAGTAGGAATTTCATATGTTTATACACATGGCGCATTAAATGTGGAGTAAGAACTAAAGGTTCTTTAAGCCCTCTGTTCTGAGGGATTCTCGTCCATCCGCGGAAATCCCAGAAGTCCATCGGTGTTCCGTCCCCTAGTGAACAAAATGTAATTATAAATGTAAGCCAATAATTGAAACTCTCTAAGAACTAGAGATCTTGCCAAAGTGGGACAGGTGGCTCATATATAACAGTTCAAACAAGGAGGCGTGGAATTTTGAAATAGTTATTCCTTTACTTCATTGACATCTTGGCTTCAGTAATCCATGTTCTTTTAAATTGTATATCAATTACCCTATCTTACAATATCTCCTCTGAACTTCAGTGTAGATTGCTTCCCTTTGTTCTGCCAAACCCCAAATCACTCCGATTATGATCGTTGGTCTGTCAGCTATATTTTCGTGCTTTACCAAAGGACAGAAGACTAGCCGTGCTTCTCTTACGATTATCAACACACTTATAAGAACAAAAACCAAAAGGGATTTTTACTTTTAACTGACTGACTGACTGAGTTTGGTTTTACGACGCTTTTAGCAATATTCCAGCAACATCACGGCGGGGGACACCAGAAATGGGCTTCACACATTGTACCCATGTGGGGATTCGAACCCGGGTCTTCGGCGTGACGACCACTAGGCTACCCCACTGCCCATGTATCATGTTAGGTATCATGTCGGTATCATGTAGATATCGTGCAGTATAATGTAGGTATCATGGTAAGCATCATGTTAGGTAACGCTTTAACCATTAGACTACCCCACCGCCCCTTTTAGTTTTAAGCATCCAGCAACTAGTCATAAGCCAATAGTCAATATGTTCTATTTGATAACTCACCTACAATTTCAGAGTGAAAGCCATTGACTGTATGAGCTTTTATTTTAACAGATGCCTCTCTGAACACGTCGATGTAGTCAGAAAACGTTTGATGACGATCTGTCATTCTTTTATGAGAGAAACCTGGAAAACATATTGGAAACAATACATATTATGCAGACATTATCGTGATTTATCCAATACCATGCAGCTGTATTATAACTGTTCAAAGGTCAAATCTGAACTGTATTTTTAAACAAATTATAACTTGGCCAAATCCCACTGTCACAACTGGAAGCATGGACGGCCCAGTCGTACACGCCAGAAACCTATGCTCTTCAGTTCGAATCCAGTCTCTTGGGTTCCACCACGTGGTATATGTGTGAGAGATTCATCACTTCGGGCCTCCTCACACATCAGTACGCCATGCAATAACTGAAATACTATTCAAAGCGGCGTTAAACCAACTCAGCCACTCTCTCCAAACTCAGCCTCTTACTCAATGTTCAAACAAGGATGATTTGAAGCACTATTCCATCACTGTTGCAGGAAATCTGTCTGTACTTTGCTCATACATGTAAATAGTTTCGTATTGTTTGTTTGCTTGTTGTTTAACGCCGCACTCAGCAATAATTCAGCTGTTTGAAAAAGTCTGGAACAGACAATCCACTGATCAACATCATGAGCATCGATCTACGCAGTTGGGGTACGATGACATATGGGTCAACCAAGTCAGCGAGCCTGACCACCCGATCCCATTAGTCGCCTCACAAGTTTCGTATTGATCGTAAACACTTACGTAAGGTTCTATAAGAGAAGGTATGTCTGATCGCATCCTACATTAGCAGATTATGAGCCTAATGCGTCTCCAAATTTATGCGACTCAAACTGCTGTCTGCAATAAAACACCAAACTAGCGAGCAAATCGTACACATGGTTAGGGATACAGGTTAAATTAGTTTGAGGAAATAAACATTTCATGGAAACCTTACAAGAATTATCACAAAGAGCTAATAACTGATTTCACTTAACATGCATTTCGTGGCAGTGTGACCCGTGAAGGTCCGGGTTAGAATATTGATATTCAGTAACCCATGCTTGTCGTAAGAGGCGACTAACGGGATCGGGTGGTCAGGCTCGCTGACTTGATTGACTCGGTTCCCACTTGTCAGGTCCAGACTCGATTATTTACAGACCGGCGCCATATAGCTGGAATATTGCTGATTTCGGCGTAAAACAAAACTCACTTACTCACTCATGGCAGTTTATCTTCACATTTGTCCTCATTATGCTGACTACTATGGACCACTTTAGTCAACATACCAAACATTACTTTAAATCATAAAATGATCGCGAAGAGTAGGAGAAACCCTATGTTCCAGTATATATTCTCATACCTATGACTTCTAACTGCAAAAGTTGGCAATTCAGTAAACTCAGGTTATAACGATCTCAAATGGACCTCTGATTGTAGTTTGTTATAACCGTAGTAATTGTAATTTCGACTAAAAATATACAGCAAGTGACAGGGGCAAAATATGGTTGACACAGCCGCATTAATCGTCTTACGAGTAAATTGAACATGTAACCATGATTTCTTGAAAGTCATTTAGTCGTATTAAGCGTCCTACGAGTAAATGGAACATGTATACATGGTTTTCAGTCATTTAGTCAGAAACCCATTCCTCTCTGTTTATTTCATCATCTGTTTCATTTACAGTCAGTTGCAAAAATCGCATGTTATCAATACTATGTAAAATGGTAAACTATACAGGCGCTTACTTAATACTTGACAGAGAGTAATTATACATGATCTTATCTTTTTTCAAATATAAATGTTATCTAAGACTCTAAGAAATGAATAAATAACAATCATAATTGGAGATTATATTAGTCATCTTGTTAAAAAATAGAACCTGCTTTTTGTCGGCACACTTACATTTAAAACAAGCAGGGGTCATATTATCGTCATCATTTAATTAAAGCACACTTTCGCCCTGAACTATTATCACGTTAGAGCACGAGGACGCAAGCGTCCTCGTGCTTTAACTATAATAGTTCAGGGCAAAAGTGTGCTTTATTACACTATACATGGTGGTAGAGCGAACTGTAGTTCTTTTCTAAGATGCCACATTTAATACTTTCTAAGGATAATTACGATTAATCTAAGGCAGAAAACAAACGACGGTGTCGGTGATCTAAATTTAATATCCTCGCACAGGGCTAACTGGCCTATTCTATTGATGTGTCTGTCCCCCTACGTTAGGACGAACGTTACCAGAAAAAAAGAAATGATAAACAGTTTGATGACGGTTTACTTTCTGATTAAATATCTTCTCTAAATTATTTTAATTACATCTGTGATTAACGTAAACCATATGGGGCAATATGAACGTCGCATTTCTACGACCAACGTAAGTTTAGATCAGTACATCCAGATGAAGCTGAGTTGTCAAGTGACATTCCACGATTGCATTGTGGGAATGTAAACATTGCGAACGTTACCGTGCCGCTGAAAACTTGTGAGTCGAATTGAGACAGTTTTTTAAACGTCGGAAAACATAAACGTAACGTTTCCACCAGTGATGTTAGCTGCGTGAAGCAACTGCAAACCAAGAAACGGGATGCAACGGAGTAGTTTACTGCAGGAGGCTGTGGCGATGCCAACTGACATGCATCGTGACGTCGGTTACATTGTGACGGAATGCAAAAGTGTTCGATTACGAGGGGGCAGACTAGAATGGCACAGTGACGCCAATACATTGTGACGTAATGCAAAAAGCGCACATTATCGTCTGATAAAGTACTGTCGGCGCCTTTGATCTTTCACCGAAGCATCTTAGAATCCTTACTTAAACCAATTGCTAACGGCTGAAGGGATGGTGTAAATCCAGCTAGGGTCCATGCAGGTAGCAAAGGTACTGTAAGTCCCCATGGTCCCTAGTATGGTGATCTACCTTCAGTTGTTGGCAATATATAGCCTGTTTTTATATTGTATTGTCTTCTATGGTTAAAAGTTTTTAGTTTTTCACACTAGTTTTATATCTATATCTGTGATCCTCTTGTTGTTTTACTGTCTTTCGTTGACAGGGTTTTATAATTTGACTTTATTTATTACGACTTTATTTATTATTCACATCCTTGTCACGATCTGGCTGCAATATTGCCGACGTGACGTTAACTTTAAACTCACTCACTCACTTACTTGAACCTTTTTATTTTTAAGCTGATTTACCCAGCCATAGATTAGTATCTCAAAGCGCAATCAATGATAGATACTTAGATATTATAGGATTTAACAATATATCTTGTGATCTTAAATTACATGAAATAACAAACTCATTTGCCCCTTGGTTTCATATTAAGACAGACGTTCATCGTCCAATAGAATCAGTTTCTTATGAAGACAGACGTTCATCGTCCAATAGAATCAGTTTTATGTAAAGGCAGACGATCATCGTCCAAAAGAATCAGTTTCATATAGAGACAGACGTTCATCGTCCAATTGAATCAGTTTCTTATGAAGACAGACGTTCATCGTCCAATAGAAACAGTTTTATGTAAAGACAGACGATCATCGTCCAATAGAAACAGTTTCATATAAAGACAGACGTTCATCGTCCAAAAGAATCAGTTTCATATAAAGACAGACGTTCATCGTCCAATAGAATCAGTTTCATATAAAGACAGACGTTCATCGTCCAAAAGAATCAGTTTCATATAAAGACAGACGTTCATCGTCCAATAGAATCAGTTTCATATAAAGACAGACGTTTATCGTCCAATAGAGTCAGTTTCATATAAAGACAGATGATCATCGTCCAATAGAATCAGTTTTATGTAAAGACAGACGTTCATCGTCCAAAAGAATCAGTTTCATATAAAGACAGACGTTCATCGTCCAATAGAATCAGTTTTATGTAAAGACAGACGTTCATCGTCCAAAAGAATCAGTTTCGTATAAAGACAGACGTTCATCGTCCAAAAGAATCAGTTTCGTATGAAGACAGACGTTCACCGTCCAATAGAATCAGTTTCATATAAAGACAGACGTTCATCGTCCAATAGAATCAGTTTCTTATGAAGACAGACGTTCATCGTCCAATAGAATCAGTTTCATATAAAGACAGATGGTCATCGTCCAATAGAATCAGTTTTATGTAAAGACAGACGTTCATCGTCCAATAGAATCAGTTTCGTATAAAGACAGACGTTCATCGTCCAAAAGAATCAGTTTCATATAAAGACAGACGTTTATCGTCCAATAGAATCAGTTTTATGTAAAGACAGACGTTCATCGTCCAAAAGAATCAGTTTCATATAGAGACAGACGTTCATCGTCCAATTGAATCAGTTTCTTATGAAGACAGACGTTCATCGTCCAATAGAAACAGTTTTATGTAAAGACAGACGTTCATCGTCCAATAGAATCAGTTTCATATAAAGACAGACGTTCATCGTCCAATAGAATCAGTTCATCGCATCAACGATACATAAGTCCCAATGCATTCACAGCAAATTTAAACCTACTACTATGCTTAATCGTAGTATATGTGTTATTTTAATCTATGGCTAGATTTATTCAAATTGCTAATGGCTGAAGGGATGGTGTAAATCCAGGTAGCAAGAGTACTCTAAGTCCCCATGGTCCCTGGCATGGTGATCTAACTTCAGTTGTTGGCAATACATATATTGTGTTGTCTTCTATAGTTAAAAGTTTTTAGTTTTTCACACTAGTTTTATATCTATATCTGTGATCCTCTAGGTAGTTTTCTGTCTTTCGTTGACAGGGTTTTATAATTTGACTTTATTTATTACGACTTTATTTATTATTCACATTCTTGTCACGATCTGGCTGAAATATTGCCGACGTGACGTTAAATTTAAACTAAAGTTAAAGTATTTTAGTGTTAATTACTAGTTTTAGATTGAAATGTGTGATATACTAGTTGTTTTACTGTCTTTTGCTGACAGGTTTTTACAATTTACCTTTATTCATTGCAAAATTATAACTTGTTTGTAGTCACGATATGGCTGAAATATTGCCGATGTGACTCACTCACTCACTCACTCGCATCAACGACACCACGTATATGGTTGATATTAACCCTGTGGCGACACTATCTGTTTAACCATTTTCATAAATTGTATCTTTTCATGAGGAATACCTTGGTGGATGGGAGCCCTAATATAGTATATTGCAATTGTCTTTGACAAGAGAAAAAACGAAGCGTTACCATAGCGACGCCAGCTCCAGTAGCTGGACTCCTTCCCAAGAGTACATGTACACGTCTCTACATCCGGGTGATTAGTAATTCTGTTGAACAGATCAGTAGATCCGCATTTATCGGATCCAATGAGATGGAAATACGGGAGGCATTGGATAGTATTGTTCCGGTCCTGCCAGCACGGGTTCTTGTAGTCTGAGAGCAGTGATGGCCTGTTCTGAAAGGAAACATATATTGTCAACAAACATCGTGTTTCTAAACCGTGTAAGTGACGACGAATGACTCGTGCCTTTTCATCATTTCTATAAAGCACGATAAAAAATCTTTCTAACAGATCTGTTTTCTGGTATTCTCGTTATTTTGAGCCAATATTTCATTGTTTCATAGTAGCAGTGTACAGATGAAACGGACCGCACTCAAAACAGATTACCCCTAAGTGAGTGAGTGAGTTTAGTTTTACGCCGCACTCGGCAATATTCCAGCTATATGGCGGCGGTCTGTAATGATCGGATCTGGACCAGACAAGCCGGTGATCAACAGCATGAGCATCGATCTACCCAATTGGGATACGATGACATGATTGTGTCAGCCAAGTCAGCTATAGATAGTTTGCAGGCGATTAACAATCGCAATACTGACCATCACTGAAATGCCATGTAAATGTGCCCGTGGCTGGCATGGACATCCCTTTTTGTTGGCTACCAAATCACGTTGGTATCTTGGGAAACTCAAAAGCAGATTCCGCAGCTAAATCTGCTCTTGAGAAGTCAATGTCAAGCATTAGTAAGTGAGTTTAGTTTTACGCCGCACTCGGCAATATTCCAGCTATATGGCGGCGGTCTGTAATGATCGGATCTGGACCAGACAAGCCAGTGATCAACAGCATAAGCATCGATCTACCCAATTGGGATACGATGACATGATTGTGTCAGCCAAGTCAGCGAGCCTGACCACCCGATCCCGTTAAACGTCTTTTACGACAAGCATGGGTTACTGAAAATCAATTCTAACCCGGATCTTCACGGGTTTCACCCATAAGTTGTATTGAATACATTTGATAAAGTTTCATAAGAGAGCAAGTTATTTTCTCAAAACAAGAATTAAGATGACCACTATTGAAAGACAATTACGACGTTGTGTTAGCAAATACACAATCAACAAGTGGTCACTAGAAAACGGATTTAAATTATTCGAACATGTATACATTCACTTTTGTAATAAACACAAACTACAACACGATCCAATGTTATTCCTATGGAACCTCCAATAGAACGGTCTTTGACAATAAAATGTGTTGTATTCCTCATACATATAATGTTTAATTTAAATTCTTAAAAACTCTTGATATACGAAAGGTAGTTTCAAATGCTAAATGGGTTGGGGACAAACACTGCTCTATATCAACAGAACATTAAATAGATCTCAACTTGACTATGGTTGTTTTATATATGGTATAACGCGTATATTCAAGAACTTGACACCATTCATCATCAAGGTTTTGTGTCCAGGTGCATTTTAAATTTTAAACACTGTGTGGCTGATGAGCTGTATCATTATCTCCAACGCATAAAACAGGCATTACAGCAGGTTACTAAACGTCATTCCGATCCATCAGATAAATGCATCTAAGGCTATTTTTATACTAACTTTTTAGACCTTGTATGGTAAGAAAACTAACCCAATTGTTTCACATTGAGTCTGTATTCAACAACTCAGAACTGATGTAAATTGAGGACAGCGGCAGTCAATACAGCATGGTGTCAATTTGAAATTAACGTAATTGATACTAACCCCATATCATATTAACAAGACATCTTTGAAATTAATTCAAAACATAGACATATCGGTTATACATGTTGATGGATTTAACAACAGAGACAATATGTCAGCTGCAGCTACAGCTATCTGATGGAAGTTCCTAAGGTTACAACTTTATGGACACCAACGTCTTGTTATAATGAAGCATACAACTCTATTGATAACAGCTCCTTGTTATAATGAAGCATACAATTATATGGATAACAACTTCTTGTTTATCATAAAAGTACATTTTTCTGGATAACAACTTTTTATTAATAATGCAGCATACAACTTTATGGATAATAGCTCCTTGTTTATAATGAAGCATACAACTTTATGGATAATAGCTCCTTGTTTATAATGTAGCATACAACTTTATGGATAACAGCTCCTTGTTTATAATGAAGCATACAACTTTATGGATAACAGCTCCTTGTTTAATATTAAGCATACAACTCTATTGATAACAGCTCCTTGTGATAATGAAGCATACAATTATATGGATAACAACTTCTTGTTTATCATAAAAGTACATTTTTCTGGATAACAACTTTTTATTAATAATGCAGCATACAACTTTATGGATAATAGCTCCTTGTTTATAATGAAGCATACAACTTTATGGATAATAGCTCCTTGTTTATAATGCAGCATACAACTTTATGGATAATAGCTCCTTGTTTATAATGAAGCATACAACTTTATGGATAACAGCTCCTTGTTTATAATTAAGCATACAACTCTATTGATAACAGCTCCTTGTTATAATGAAGCATACAATTATATGGATAACAACTTCTTGTTTATCATAAAAGTACATTTTTCTGGATAACAACTTTTTATTAATAATGAAGCATACAACTTTATGGATAATAGCTCCTTGTTTATAATGAAGCATACAACTTTATGGATAATAGCTCCTTGTTTATAATGTAGCATACAACTTTATGGATAACAGCTCCTTGTTTATAATGAAGCATACAACTTTATGGATAATAGCTCCTTGTTTATAATGAAGCATACAACTCTATGGATAACAGCTCCTTGTTTATAATGAAGCATACAACTCTATGGATAACAGCTCCTTGTTATAATGAAGCATACAATTATATGGATAACAACTTCTTGTTTATCATAAAAGTACAACTTTCTGGATAACAACCTCTTATTAATAATGTAGCATACAACTTTATGGATAACAGGCCCTTGTTTATATTGAAGCTTACAACTTTAATGATAACAACCTATTGTTAATAATGTAGCATACAACTTTATGGGTAACAGCTCCTTATTTATATTGAAGCTTACAACTTTAATGATAACAACTTCTTATTAATAATGTAGCATACAACTTTATGGATAACAGCTCCTTGTTTATATTGAAGCTTACAACTTTAATGATAACAACCTCTTGTTAATAATGTAGCATACAACTTTATGGATAACAGCTCCTTGTTTATATTGAAGCTTACAACTTTAATGATAACATTGGTTAATAATGAAGCCTACATCTTTATGGATAACTTCTTGTTGATTGCATAGAACGACCTTTCGAAATAGATTCTTGCACCGTTATCAGGCTAAAAGTGACTACGACCAAGTGATCAGAAGCATATATGCATATTATGTTATGATATTAACAACAACATGTAATTGGCAAACACTTGGTATGTAACAGGATGGGGTGGGAGTAAGAAGAGCAAATTGCACCAGTCATGAAGCCAGCATACACGAGGGAGTAAGTAGTAAAGACGAGCTGATAGGGTGCTACCTGAGAATCTACAACTCGATTCAATGTTAATGTGCTGACTTTTATACAAGTGAAACCTTCTGTCTCGGAGATAACCGTATAAGGAGCATAAAACATCAACGCTTTATTCACTAGGCTACGCCACCGCTGTGTATATATAAGAACATCCACTCTGAAAATGAAGAATTCTGGTATCAATTCATATGGTCCAACTGACGTTCTTGTTTTGAGTGTTTTTACTGCACTTTCTACTTTATCTTTCACTGCCAGAGTTTAGAATTTACAACAAGTGGAAATGCAACTTGTGTCTGTTAGTATTTCAAACAGTATGGCTGAAAAACCAAATGATAGACTCTGAACAGAAGTATCAATTTCATTATCAACATGGCCTATGACCAACATTTCCATAAACCTCAAGACACCTTTAACGGTTATATCTTTATCGAAAAACAATGCCACCAAATGATTTGTAAAATATTTTATCTTTATCCAGTTAGTGGTGTGTGACATGTGGCAAGTTGGTCAGCATGCAACAGGAGAACATCCTATACCTACCTACCTACCTACCTACCTACCTACCTACCTACCTACCTACCTACCTACCTACCTACCTACCTACCTACCTACCTACCTACCTACCTACCTACCTATTCATAAATCTAAACGTTTGAGTTTGCACAGAATCAATGTGTTTGGGTAGCGTTTTGTTAATATGTAGAATTCCTCAACCAGAGCATTGCTGCACAGCTCAGCACAGCACGGCACAGCACAGCACAGCACAGCACAGCACAACACGCCACAGCACAGAATAGTTATGTAAAATGTATCCTAATCCTAACCTAAATCGCATAGTTTCGTTGTGGGACTTTAACCTCTCACTCTGACCTCCATTACATTGCTCAGTGGAATACCAATGTAGATCTTTTGACTGTTAGCCCACCAATTGAGACAGAAATGCACAATTTCGGATAAAATTGGCGTCCATGCGGAACCACCTGTTTATGACCACTGTATCCGCAAAAGAGCACAGGGATGAAATGAGACTGATAACGTATATATGTATCTATAACTTACACTGTCTGTCACCACGGAACTGACCGGTTCCAACCTCAGTTGTACGACAGACACATAAGTAACTAAGTTTCTGCGCATTTGTCCACTGTACTTAACATACACTAATCAAAGTTTAACTGGAATATTTCAAACAATACGAAAACAGGACACTTGTAATCTGTAACGTCGGTATGTGATATATACATAAATAGTTCTGACTTTGCTATACATATGGAAATTCATTCCGCAACACCTTTTTTTCAGACTTAGCAACTTTAATTAACTGGTGCATAAAATGTCTCAAAGATTTCCATACCATATGAACTTTGCAGTGGAATGAAAGAATTCAGGAGAAATATAGCCAACATTGTCATGGCATAATCTGGTTAGTTCATGCAAAACTATATCTTGCACAGACTTAAAGAACAAATAAACTTCTTTTTTTGTCTCTTTTAACCATTACATATGAAAGATTCTTTAAAAACTTGTAGTTAATTAATACCGAACGATTAAAAGTTGCAAAAAGGTCGCTTGCTTCACTCTCACCCGCCAACGAAACCACAGACAGGTTACGTAAATCTGTCGCCAGAGCACTGCAGTGACGTCATGTGAGG